TCTACTGTTCTCACCCAGCCTGGCCTATAGTTGACTCTTAACTGGCCTCTGCAATGGTCCAGCAGGCCACTTAGATTAAGGGTGATTGAAAATTGATAACAAATGCTGCCCTTGGCAGCAACACCTACAGCCTCTGAAAGAATAAAGATATAAAAGTCCTCCCTGTCCTTAAGGGGCTTCACAGCCTCTCACTAGCTTTTTAGCTCCCAGCTGAAGGGGAGCATTGGTGGAGTCTAGAAGATTGTCAGTCTCTGCTTTGTCTCAGTGATACAGCTGTATCGTGTGAGAAGAGGAGTCAACTTGCCAAAGAAAAGGTTTGAATGAGTCTGCATTTCCTCTGAATTCTAGAACCTCATCAAGTCATGTCTGGATGGAGCAAATGGAGAGCCAGGAATGAGAAAGATTCATCAGGAAGGAAGGCCAGTGGTCTCACCACTTTTTCAAAAAAATCTCTGTGGGATGTGGGTATCACTGGCTCAGCCAGCATTTATTTCCCGTCCCTAGTTGCCTCTTTGAGAAGGTGGTGCTTTCTTGAACTATGGCAGTCCATGTGCTGTGGGTTGACCCACAATGCCATTAGGGAGGGAATTCCAGGTTTTTGACCTGGCGACACTGAAGGAACAGCGATATACTTCCAAATCAGAATGGTGAGTGGCTTGGAGGGGAACTTGAAGGCAGTGGTGTTCCCATGTGTCTGCTGTCCTTGTCCTTCTAGATGGAAGTGGTCGTGAGTTTTGAAGGTGCTGTCAGAGGAGCCTTGGTGAATTTCTGTAGTGCATCTTGTAGATGGTACATACTGCTACTAATGAGCGCTGGTGGTGGAGGGAGTTTGTTTGAGGATGTGGTGCCAATCAAGCAATAGATTGGCAATAAATGAAAGGAATTTGGATATTATTGCAGAGCTGCGGAGGAGCTAGGTTAATCTGTTAATACGCCGATGCTGTGTGACGGATGTGAACGCCCACATGTGGTTAGTTTCTGATGTTGATAACAAAATTTCCCAATTTGAAACCAGTCGGCTCTCTATGGCTATAGTTACAGATGGTTACAGATCTGTGCATTAAAAATAGCTGTGGTCAGCCTGATGGTTATTAGTGCACCCTGCAGGTTCTACCAGAGCAATGATAGAACACTGGAGAAGGCTGGAGTCTTTAATTCCAGAGTTCTCACTACCTGGGACCCAAGCTCAGCCAACTGAGTCCTGTTGAGGGGTGCAACTGGTGACAGGCTGAAGTTTAAACAGCACACCTAGTTTTGCAACATAGGAAGGGATAGGAGCACAAAGAGGTTCTTCCTACACCCGCCTATTCAATTCCTTCTTGCAGTCAGTTACCAGCTAAACAAGGGCCACAGTCAGGTTTTTGCAGTTTTCAAAGTTCAGGTTCACCCCCAAACCTGACCCAGGCAGCGTCCACATCCTTTCTGGGGTTGAGAGTTAAATCATTTGATCTGCCAATATGTTGACAGTGGGTTTTTACATTGGAGGAAGTGGTGAGCGAGAGCGCTATCGTTGATGCAGCTGGAGTAGAAAAATGCTCAAAGCTGTGCATATATTGTACAACCCAAAAACCTGTGATACGCAAATGAGTCAGGTGCAAAATGACTGCAGCACCCCTCCCCCATCACTAACTCATTAACATGGCTATAAAGATGTGGGACTCTGAACCCACAAGTTGTAAATTTGAACCTGATATATTGAGAAGGCAAGAGGGACATCCACAGGAAGTGACGGAGGCCAGGTATTTATTGTCATCATTGGGTTCAGGATTTCATTTAAACTGGAGGCTTTCACCACCCTGAAAGGACCCAGAGCTGGAGCAGGCCAATATAAGTTTAGGACATTGTGCTGGCTTTTGGGTGTCTGTGTTGGTGAACAGTAAGAGCCAAGACCCTACGAGAAAACCTCGGGCCTCCTCAGCCATGAGGTTCCTGCACTCAGCCTCCCTCTATATTCTCCCTCCCCTTACACTCTCCCTCCCCCTACTCCCTCACCGCAACCACCCCTCCCCGGAATCTCTCCTTTGCTGGAATGTCTTACTCGCTGACCTTTCTCCTTCCCAGCACTGTCTCCCTCTGCTCACGCCCTCCCTCCCTATGCTCCCTCCCTATGCTCACTCCCTCCCTGAACTCAGTCCCTTCTTATGCTCATTTTGTCCCTTACTGCATGGTCTCCCTCACTAAGCTCTCTCTGTCTCCTCCCTAGGATTCCTTGTAATCTTTCCCCTGTCCAGGGCATTGTCAGCAAATCCCAGGCCCATCTACCTACCCTCAACAGGCCTCTGCGGTAAAGAATTCCACAAATTCCTCTGGTCGTAGACTGCCCCATGAGGGGAAACATCCTCTCATCATTTACCCTGTCAAGCCCCTTAAGATTCCAATATGTTTCAATGAGATCACCTCTCATTCCAGTGAGTAGCGTCCTAGCCTGTTTAGCCTTTTCTCATAAAACAATCCCTCCATACCTGGGATCATCCAAGTGGACCTTCTCTGAACTGCCTCCAATGAAATGATATCTTTCGTTTTAAAGGGGGCTAAAACTGCTCACGGTACTCCAGATGTGGTCTCACCAGCACCTTGTCCAGTAGTAAGACTTCCCTGCTCTTATACTCCAACCCCCTTGAATTAAGGGCCAACACTGTATAAGCCTGCTGTACCTGTGTGCTAGCTTTCTGTTTCATGCACAAGACCCCCCAAGGTCCTTTGTGTTGCAGCTTTCTGCAGTTTTTCACCATTTAAATAACACTCTGTTCTTCACATTTTCCCACTTATACTCCATTTGGTAATTTTTTTGCCCACTTTCTTAACCTATCAATATCTCTCTGTAAACTGTTTGTATCCATCTTGCAACCTGCCTTTCCATCTATTTTTGTGTTGTCTGAAAATGTGGCTGCAGAACGTTCATTTCCTTCCTCCAAGTCACTAATATATATTGCAGTCCCAGCACTGATCGCCTTGGAACCCCACTGGTTATAGTTTGCCAATCTGTAAAGGAACCCCATATTCCCACTCACTGTTTCCTGCCCATTAGCCAGTTCTCTGTCCACACTAGTATACTGCCTGCTACACCATGGACTCTTTTCTTATGACTTAACCTTTTGTAAAGGTTACAAGCCACCTTCTAGAAGACCAAATACAATACATCTACTGGATTCCCTCTACCTATTCCATTTGAGACTTCCTCGAAAATTCTAATAAGTTAATCAGTCTCGATTTCCCTTTCATGAAGCCATGCTGACTCTGCTTGATTAGATAATGATTTTCCAAATGGTCTGTTATTACTTCCTTAATAATTGATTCCAGTCCTTTTCACCCATAGATGTTAGGCTAGTCAGCCTATAGTTACCTGCTTTTTGCCTTCCTCCCTTTTTGAACAGGGGTGTCACATTTCCAATCTTCTGGTACTTCTCCAGAATCCAAGGATTTTTGGAAAATTTCAACTAATACATCCACTTCTCTGCAACTACTTCTTTTAGGATCCTGGGTTGCAAGCCATCAGGGTCAGGGGACTTATCTGCCTTTAGCTCCTTTAGTTACAGTCATAGAGTCATACAGCACAGAAACAGACCCTTTGGTCCAACCAGTCCAAGCCAAACATAATCCCAGACAACACTAGTCCTACTTCCCTTGTCCTGGACAATATCCCTTCAAATCTTTCCTATTCAGATAAATATCCAAATGCATTTTAAACATTGTAATTGTACCCGAATCCATCACTTCATCAGGAAGTTAATTCCACACGTGAACCACCCTCTGTATATGTCTTTTTAAAATTTCTCTCCTCTTGCCAGTATTCTTTAGTATTAATGGAATGTTCAAACTATCTCCCACCATAAAGACTATTGCAAATTATCTGTTTCACATTTGTATTTCTGGACTGCTTTTTGTATTTTTTATTGTGAACACAAATGCGATGTATTCAGTCAACTACTCTGCATCTTCCTGAATCCCCAGAATAATTCCCAGCCTCATTCTCTAAGGGGCCCATGTTCACTTTGGCCTTTTTGTTTAGTATATATTTTAAGAAGCTCTTACAATCCAATTTTATATTAATTGCTAGTTTATTCTCAGTTTAGTTTTTCCTTATTTTGGTCTTCCTTTGTTAGCTTTTAAAATTTACCCAATACTCTGGTTTACCAATAACCTTTGCCACATTGTATGTTTTTTTACTTTCAATTCGATACTTTCCTTAACCTCCTTGTGTGACTATGACTGGTTTATCCCCTTCCTAAAATACCTCTTCCTCACTGGAGTATATCTTTGCTGTGAGTCATGAACTATCTTCTTAAATGTCTGTCATTATTCCTCAACTATCTTTTCTGGTAGAGATAGTAGGAACTGCAGATGCTGGAGA